TTAAAAAATATAAAACTATGGGTGAACAACCCTTACAGTGGCCTCTGCTGACACAAGCATAATTTTTTACAGTGAGCAAATCTCATAATCTAATCGCTGCTGTTAATGTCGAGTGCCTCTATCTTTAAAAGACACTGAGTCTAACTGTGATTAAATAATACCTCCAAGTGGGTTTATAATCGAATGACTAATTTTAGAAAAAAGTAAAAAGTCAGGGCCAATTCATTATAAAATCATTACACACACAAATGTATAGTGCAACATATAAAATATGTACTACAATGCATACACGGCAACATGTGTATACACTAAATAGTAAGAAAGATCATAATGTGATCTTCACAGACAATATTATTGTCTGTATATCTGTGTGTATATTGAAATACCTGCCTTTAAACGTGCGTACAAGAGTGGCGATTTCCTTCACGTGGGGTACTATTATACACATACACTGTTCATACTGTATGGGTATTAGTGTGTCGGTAAATATTATGTTATTAAAGACGTGTGTCTCATGCTTTTTCAAGGCGTATCTACAAATATATATATATTTATCTAACAACCAAAAGAAACGGAGAGCTTGAGGTGTAGTTACCAGGTACCTAGTGGCGGCGCACCAATGTTGAATAAAAACCGTTTTTCTTCGTGACTAGAATATTATGTCGTATACTTTGTATTACTATTCTCTGAATAAACCCACAAACGACAATCATGCGGAATTTTTTTAGATGCTACTAGAGCAATAGACGTTAGTTTCTTATTTTGCTGAAAATATTAGTGTGTTGAATATAAAGACCCTGGGTAAACTTTAGACTGTTACGGGTTATTTAGGAGGGGTTGGGTTGGGTATTATCTTCTCTGAACACACCAAGAAAAAACCAGAAATCTTAATTATAAATTTATTATAGTTTTTATATTTTATTATTCAACGTCGGACAACTAAGTTGAAGTATTGAATCAAATTAATTATAGTTTATACAATAATCATTATTTATGATTGATTAAAAAATTCAATCGAACAAAATATAATATATTTTGTAAGATTAACGAATTTAAATTTAATTCTATTATTTAAAAATACTTTTAATGAAATATTTTATTGTACTATAAATATTTATTATTGTAATATTTCGATAAAAATTTTTTCTTAATAATAGAATTTTGAATTTCTACAGTTAAATTTATGCTTAAATACGAATATATTTAAATTTTATATTGCGAAAAATCTATTAAAATAATGTACTCATTGGTAATTACTTACTCAAGATTGATATTCGGCAAGACTTTTACTAATCAAAAATGATGCATTACTTCTTTAGGACACTTAAATAACAATAGTTTAGAATAAAGTAAACCTTACTTAATTAGTATTTTATTCGTTTTAACACTTTAATCTTTTACATATATCCATATGTTACGCTAATTAAAATAATATTTTTTTGTCGTTGATGAACTGCGTTTGCAAACATATCTTACCAGCTGTTTCATCAACCATGTCTCGTATCTATCGAATTTTTGCCCGACTCACATTTTTTATTTGACGATATATTTTCCAATAGAGTTGATAACAATATTACTATATTACCTATTTGTTACAAAATGAATATTTATTTTTAATTTACTATAATCTTTTCCTTTAATGTTAGTGTGTTAGTTTTAAATCATTAGTTTTTATTATTTGTTGTTGTTCTAATTACTTATTTTGTGTTTTTTGTTAGAGCCATATTCTAATAATAATTATATTACTGGTAATACGATTACAAATAAAACGAAAACATGACTGTGATCGAGAGGAAATAATGTTAACAGTTATTATTGTACCATTAATTTTTTTTGTAGGAGCTAAATAGTTTACTAAAAAACAATGGCTTCAACAACCAAAACCTTTTTATTTTACTTGTTTGTATTTTTTCAGTAACCTTAGAATTATATTTGTTTTAATCCGACATTCAGCTATGTTTATTAGAATAAATGATTTTTTACTAGAAGGATAGAACCATTACGAGAAAAACTCTCAATAGGCGAATAATAATAGAACAAAAAAATCTTAAGAGGAGATGAAACGGAAACAAAATCATTTATCGTGGTGAATGTTTATTGTTGTGTGGCTGGAGGTTATGATAATTTTATTCATTATATTGCGTATATAATAAAGTACAGACATTACTGTGTGATATCAAATAATAGGTGTTGTGATTAATTAACATCGGAACATTTTACTTAAGTACTGGTTTTAATGTCACCATAAAAGTTATTGTGCAGTTTATTTAAAAGTTTGTTGTCTTTGTTATCTTTATTGTGCGTTTTAAAGATGAACCATACAAGTTAGAAAATACACACAAACTATTAATTTTGTCTGTCTAAAATATGTTTACACATTGAATAGCGTAAAGTTTTCTAAAAAAACGTCCTTTTGACAATGTAATAGGTCTTGAACGATACTTAAATAATATACAGCAGTCTGGATCGTCTCGCGTATCAACGGTCCACTGAACTGTTGACGGCCATTCCGTTAAGTGGTTCGATCCTAAAATGGAAACCCAACTGAAGGAATGCTGCAGAAGCACGTGTATGTGTATGCGAGTGCTTACGGATTTGTGTTAGACACAAGTCTCTTAGAAAATCCTTAGCGACGACGCAAAATACTTAATACCCGTCTAGTTTGTATTTTTAAAATTGATCGACCATTAGTAATGAGTCCGTGACTTAAGAAGTTGTAACTCCCGTACGTTAATTAACAAACCTGCCATATGGTTCCACCGCGAGCATTTGAAACGGGCTGAAGATATCAGGCTTAAAATTGAAACCAATCATAAAAATACAGTAAATTTTAATAAACTAGTTTATACACAAGAAATATTTATGCAATTAAAAAAAATTATAGTGAAAAGAAACAAAAATCAATAGAATAAACGATAAGTAAAATAAACAAGTTTTTATCTCACTAAATATTTGTTTGAGTAGTTCTCATGAAGACGAGCGAAAGAGTCCAAAAAAAAAAAAAAAATTTAAAGAAGAAATAACTGATTGGATTTAAGATTACCGTATAAAAAGACTTTGCGTGTGTCATGTTCGACCTTCAAAATTAATGATGTCTGGTGTGAGTAGGTATAATACGATTGAACAGCGTTTTTATTGTGCATCCTAATACACCTAAATACAATGATATTAATATGTTGGTGTATCAACTCAACTGCTGATAAATATCGGTGATGTTATCACGTTTTCGGAGATTTGGTGAATTTGCCTTACACAAAAAAAGTAGTAGACTCAACAACCAAACCGTGTAGTCCCTACGTGTCCTCGGTATTCTATAGGAACAAGGGAGTATGTCGTACACGGTTTTTAACGGTGCCTTTGTAATAAGTGTATTATCATATTGTAATAAAATAGACTTGTTGGCGCACACGACAGGTATATACCTATCTCATCGCCACAGGAAAGGTCGTGTATGTTTCCTGGGTACGTTGTAAGGGTACAATACTATGACACCGTCGCATTGTGATGGTTCGGAAAAAAAGACAAAAAAGTGATCCTTCCTGTGAAGGTTGACGCATCTTGGTCAATATTCAGTAGACTTCGTGGCGAGCATATAGACATACTGGAGGTATTTTGTTTTAAGTCTTATAATTATTTGAATTTATTCTTTAAAAAATATATTTTTTCGTTAAGTGTAAATAGATTCATCTCAATATATTTAAATGTAATAAGTTTTGTGATGTGTTCAAATATAGCTTGAATGATTTAAATAATATTTCTTTTTATTTACTAATACTTGTTTTTAAATTTTGTTATCGTACACATTTCTCATTTTATAAAAATGACATTAAGTTATTGTTTAGAAGAATCATTTACGGAGAAACATCTGAGAATTTTGCGTTACTTTACTATAATGTGGTTTTATAATTAATATTATTATTATTAATATATTAATATTAATATTATTATTCATTTAAGAACCCATGGTGCCACCTGACTTTACCCCTAAATCGAGTGACATTAGAGTGGCCCTTACAACTGTATAACTGTAAAGCTGTTCTCTCTAGTACGAGTTTTTTAGTTGAAAGAATGTTAAAAATAAAAATAATAGAATTAACTATAATATAAAATAGATAAATTCATTTTTAGATTATTAAATTTTGTTTGGTTTGATCTATGAACATGAAAGAATGTCAACCACCCCGTGTAAATTAAACAGTACACTCTAATATAATATTAAATATTGTATTAGAGTATACTATGAAATTCGTAAAACATTAATTTGAAAAGATATTTTAGAGTATAAACCCATACAAATTTCTAAATTACACTAATATGTGTAAAATTGCCTTGGAGACTTTTAAACTGCAGGGGTCTATAATATTACTTTATCAATTTTAACGTTTGTTACGACATGTAAATATATCCATAAAACAGTATTTCTTCTTCAAAAAAAAAGTCGTATAAAACAAGCTTTTAAATCAACATTTTGCATAGACGTTAAAAAAACAATTGTAAGATATTAATAAGACGTTTCAAATACCAAAATGTTAAATAATATTTATATTTCCCAACTAAAGAATAGATTAAAGAATTATTTAATCGTAATTAACGTTTCCATGGTGTACTAATAATATATTAATCAAATGTTTATTATACACTAGTTAGATTTTATAAAATTACCCAAAATGACTATAGCGAAGTTTTTATATATCTAATTTTATCTACTTTATTAAATCTGATTTTAGGAGTAATGGTCGGACAATAACGTTGTTGTCCATGAGAAAATGGGAATAATTTTGTAACACAACAATGTTCAAAGTTTAAGCGTTGTGCGGGCGTGGGAGACTTTAATAGCGTATTCATCATTGTAGTATATACGAAATGAACCTCTCGGGACGTGTATAAGTCATAACATACTACGTTATTTATCATACATTAAACAGTTCTAAAAAAATCGTTTGCTTCCAAAAGCAATGTTTTTGTACAGTCAAAATAAATAGCGTACACCATGTGCTCACCTGATTGTCCTATTATCAACACGGATAAAAGCACCACCAACCGCCCGACAAATGAACCATTGGCAAATACTGTTCCTGATATCCTTTTCTCCATCGTCCACTAAAAAACTCCCTTTTGCGTAACCAGTGCACGTTACTGGCGCGAAAACGCTACCGAACCGCTGTCGACGGGTTGTTATTATGCGGTCATTGCACTCGACCGGGTTCGCTACCGCCTTTTGCACAAAATCGCCCAATACCCGTACAACGTTTTTCGCTGAACTCTGTATTTATGAAAATGATTTAAATAGCAAAACAACAATGTTATACGGTAGTAATGTTTTTCGCGATTACACGAACTGTTCCGAAAGAAACGCAGTCGGAGTGGTGCACGTTGATGTGTTATCGCGCCGTTGTCGTCGCGTACACTGCCGAGTGCCGGTGGTGCGCGCGTATACTGATCTGCAGTGAGGCCGTCGTTGGAAGCTGTTGGTCATGGCAGAGTGGTGGTGCTAAGGCGGCGGTGGCAGGGAGAGAATGCGTGACAGAGAGATGAACCTGAAATAGTTGTTGTCCGGACGGTGCTGCACCGCCTGGTCAGAGAGCAGTAGTGGAGGGACGGCCGTCCCAGCAGCCTCTGGTTTATCTTTAGTCGGCCATCGTCACAGGCCTACGATGTCCCGATCACCCGTGTGAACACTACCACTGACTTGGTCATTATCGTATATCATCACCGTCAACATCATGTCATTGTAACTGTACCCTTTTTCATAAGTTATACAACAGAATTAAAAAAATCGAGAAATGTCTTAAATTAAGAGAATTCTCTATTTCTTCGTTTTAATAAATTTGGTGTGTTTGAACAGTAAAATTAAGAAAAATTTCGTATGAAAAACGTGATCTATTGATTGATATTAATGAATTCTTTATCACTATTAAAAAATTATACGTAAATATTTTATGTTCGTACTACTAGTGTATTCACATAAAACTGACGGGAATATAATCCCCTCCCCTTTTGGCCGTAAAATTAATAAATTATATATATTTGTCGATTAAAAATATATTCAGTTATGTATGAATAAATACATTGCATTTTTGGTGCTCATAAGTTTAGGTGATGATAAAATAAAAAAATAATTATCTAAAATTTTTAAATAATAATCGCTCTTATTACAAAAATTTTGCAGTCTTTGATAGTTAACACTTTAACAAACTATGGATTAAATCATTCAATTTTCGAAATATATAAAAAGTAAGACTCTTCAAAATAAAAGTTTTATACTATTTTTAAATAAAAACATAAATTGTTGAAAATTATTATCATTTTTACATTTTATATTATTAATAGGTAGGTCTAGAATTCATTATTTTAAAATTAATATCGAGAGTCTAATATAAAATTTCCATGGTATTCAATATTAAAGATAGTATTTATGTATTTAGAAGTGTTTAATAATGCGGCAAATCTCAACTTTTTAGTAAATAATTTCAAAATTGAAATTTCAAAAAATCACATTTATATACATTAATCTAGGTATGGATATAAGAAGATTTGAAGGAAGATAATTCTAGTCCTTGAGCTTTAAGCCCTTAATTTACATCACACGAACAAAATAAAAGGTCATAATAAAAAAAAAATTGGTATTGAAAGGTTTTTAATTAACCTAAACCCGGGCTGTGTGTATTCGTGGAGTCCATACAGACAATTTTATATTATGGCCGAATAAATAAATAAAATATTCATCCAAAATTTATAACTTAAACTCCTTCGTAAAATAAAGAAAATTAAAAAAATTGGAATTTACTATAAAAGGAAGATAGAAAATAAAATAATTAATTGTATTAAATAGGTTATAGACATTTTTTATTTGCAATTAATACACATTACGTGGTGTATAGTTATGATGTGATATCGTAATATCATAACTATATAATATGATTATCAACTGAAACCTGATTGATTTCATGTATTTTGTCAAGAAGATGATTTAATAAATCTCCTAAGGTTTGATCTTCTCTTTTGATAATTTCGACTATTTTTTTGTTAATTTCCTCTTTTATAACAAGAGCTTCTTTGGCAATAGAAATGTCTTCCTTCAACTGTATATTTCGATTAAAATCTTTAACCTTAAATATAAATGAAAATTTCATTTAGCGTCATGTCAAAGTTCCTAATTAGCTAATTATATTTTTTTAGTTATTTTGGAAATATATATCCTACTGCCTTGAATATTTTTAATTTAAATAGAATATAAAAACCACTTAAAATTTAGATATGCTATTCAATTTTTTTTAAATTTAAAATCAATACTAAAATATTAAATTGAATTAAAATAAAAATCGTATACATGCTATATTTTGTGTTATTAAAAAATTATTAAAAAAGTACCACGTACCATGTATATATTTATTTTTAAAATGTTTAGAAACGTAATAACGGGGGTAAAGGAAAAATAAAGTAATGTAATTACTCAAACAATCAAGGCTTGACAATTTAATCTTTTTTTAGAACTTGTGAAGTAACCAGTGATTTTTAAAAATAGTAAATACACTTTAATTTAAGTTGGCTAGCAAAATGCATGTAAAAAGTAATTTTTACTCTTTTTGAAAAACAAATATAATCTTCATATATCTACTATGAAAATAAGGTGAAAATAAGGTTTGTAAAAAACATGTTTAAAAAAATGTTTAGAACAAAATAAGTAAACAGTGTCAAATGTACCATAAAATCAATGTAAACTTTGAAATTTTTAGTCTTTTAAACATTGTGTGTTTAAAACTTAACAGTCCTGGTTAAAATAATCCAAGAATTTGATATATAATTATTGGACTTAAACTCAGGCTACTAATAGTTTATTTATTTTTTCATATTTTTAAACGCTCACATAAAATTAAAACACTATAACATACTATCCCTATACTTCAAAATTCTAATAAATCAATACTCAGAATGGGATAAGTAGTAGTGGTAATTATAGTACATTACATAGTCATGTAGTTTTGCGAAATTTCTATACCAAAAGTATGTTATTGAATAATTCAATAACATTATATATAATTATTATTTATATAACCTTTTTATTTAATGTGTTTTCATAAAAATATTTCCATTCCTTGTCATACAACTTTTGTTTCTTTACAAATTCATTAATCGGTAAATTATTTAATAAATCATAAGCCATATTGATAAGAATCTGAGTCAATGAATTTTTATTTTTTAATATCTAAAAAAAAAATATCTATAGAAAAGTACACATAAAATTAATTTGTATAAAATGTCTTACTTCAGAATGTACAGCCAAAGATGTAGCTATTTGAAACATAAAAAAGCAAAATAAAAGTCTTAACGACATGATGGTATTATTCTTTTTGAAATACTAGATTTCAGTAAGCGCAACGTGACCACATTTTATACTAAATAGTTTTCTAAAGGAAGAATATTCTGATGACTTGGTGCTAAAATGTAGTAAATAAGTCATTGTATTTCAAAATACATTTTATCAGCGAAAAATAATAAAAATGTCAACTAGAGTTAATTAATAGTTTATTATCGACTTGATCCTAGACATAATAAAACGTGAAATGTTTTAGAACTTTATCAATAATTGTACAAAAAACTAATTAAAAAGATATCATTGGAAATATTTTTGTCATGGATAAATTAAAGTAAAGGAATTCAAGCAGTATATTGTATCTAATTTTTATAATACAGCTTAACACGAAAGCAATTTTTAATTTGTTATAACTATCATAGCATAAATTATAATGTATACATTTTTATTATATTCATTTATTAAAAGATTGAATGAAATCATTAGCTCAAATAGCTTTGTTAGAGTTGTTAGGATAATTCTATTTTTTTTTATTCTAAAATATTTCCAGGGTGTCATAATTAGGTTTTAATAAAAATGCCGCGATATGATGTATACGTTTCTTATCATAATTAATTAGTCGAAAATAGAAATAATATTGAGAACTATTCTTTTTTACATTTGTTTTAGGTATATGTTTTTTTGATTTAATAAATCATAAAGTATTTTTATGTTGATATCATATAAAGGTGTAAACTTTATTTTTCAAATGACATTATACACAGTTAACTAGTATAATAAACAGATGATCTAATTAAATTATTATAAATAAATCTAATTAAGAAAATTATAGGTCGATAACAACTTTTTGACCAGTATCTTAATAGTTATTAACATTTTATAATGATGGCTAGATATGAGAAACAAGTGTTGTTACTTTTATCAATAGCCATTTCTTGACTTTGCTTTTAGTACCGCCTACTAAACTACCAAAATACTGGTTCAAAAGTTCAAGTTTCCACTTGTATTTTTTTTTTTTTTTAGATCATTACCTATTAAATAATCTGGTTAACTATGTGTGTTGTTATTAAAAAATAAAGTACCTATATATAAGGATGAAAATAAAAAATACTACATGATTGATAAATTTAAAAAAATGAACTTATAAAATCTTACTAAAACTTGATAAAGTAACAATATGAGCACGTGTAGTTAATTTATCAAGTTATCTGTGGGATACTATAAAGATAGTTACTCATTTTTATAATTTGATAATGTTTAATATTTTTCCATAACACGTCTTGAATAGTATGCTTGCTATATATAAATTAAATCATGGATAATGACAGTTTTATCGATAATATGAATACATGTGGTTTAACTAAATAGATAATTTGCAAGTTGGGAAAATTTTGTGTTTCATTGAGTAATTATTCGATTACTACATACATATTAAGGTATATGACGTACTATTAAAAGCTATGCATATTAAATAGTTTATTTTTTAATAATATTTTAGTACAACACGCTACTATTGACATTTAAATAAAATTATTGAATGTGGGCTTAGAATATTGTTTTAAAATACAGTAAAAAATAATATATTTACCGACTGGACATCCAATAGTAGATAATAGCAGATCATGAACTCGTGATATAGTGTAGTCTAGTGTATTTATTCATAAGTAACAAACATTTTTGATTGAAAAGTATTGCATCAAATCCTTTAAATTTTTATACGCGTTAAAGGGAACCACTAATCAGGATATAATTAAGGAAATAGGAGTAAATTACTTTTGGAATAATCCACCAATTTGTTAAAGTTAAACACTATCTACAGATTTTCACCGAAGCGTTTTTCATTATAGTGATTTTAATCTCTGTCAGATATCAAATATACTTGTCCCAAGTATGCCACGTCCATACTGTGCCGCGGATCCCACTGTGCTACCGTTTTTTAATATAATAATTATTATAAGAGTATTCACTCGAAACTATTTGAGTGACTTATATTAAAAGAATTACTTTGTATTTCTTTACTTACATTTATCAAAAGATATTGGTAGTTAGAACATTTGTTTTGGAATGAACAGTCATTTCCTTTTATATACATACTGGAGTGACATTAAAAGTTGCGAAAATTCTCCTTTAAAAAATCTATTTATTGAAATAGAAAATTATGTTAATATGACAAATAGTGATTTAATACCAAATAACATTTTTTGTGGAACTTTGTTTACATATAGAAAACAAGGTGTTGGGACAAATTTATTTTTAACAGAAAGTAAATAAAATAAATTTTAATTCAACATATATTTAATGTCCTGAGTATTTCCTGACTTTTTTTAAATGTTAAGTTGAAAATATTTACTTTCTATACATATGATTTAAGTTTTGAATTCTCTCTGTATAGGAGGTTGAATAAAATCTTTAATTTAGTTAAAAAAAAATTATATTAGATGAAAAGAACATGTATAAAATAGTTATAAATAAACGTTTATAACAATCCATCACTATAACCTCCCTTTTGTATGGTATTTTAAATTATAGTAAAAAAAGTATGTCGGTAAACAAATATGTATTTTTACGAATATGTAAATGGTATTTACAAAATAAAATTAATTTGATATATACATTTTTCAGCAAATTATGATGGTTTAACATATGAAAATAACAACACGATAAATGATGAACTTTTACAAAAATATAGCATTTTTTAAAAATTACGACAGCTATTTATTCATAGAGATTATCGGGAAAAATATTTTTTAAAGTATGCAACAAATTTATTACTTTTTGAATTAAAATTATCATGCCATATTATAAAATATCAATTTGATAATACTTTTAATTACTATAATAAATATTTATTCATTTATTATACAAAGCGTGTTCAGATAATAACGGGAATTTTTGTCTTTTAAAAAAAATATTTATTTATTCGTCTATATTAATGTTGTCTCCTTCGAAAAAGTACTCATTAGATATTATGCACTTGTGCCAACGATTCTACAATTTTCGAAACACTTCTCATACTCGATCTTTGGAATAGCCTTCAGGTCTTTTTAATATCATTTATGCTTGTAAAACGATGGCCCTTTAAGGTTCTCTTTATTTTTGAAGATAGACAAAAGTCATAATAAACGCTTCGATGTTAATCTGTAGATAGTCTTTAATTTTAAGAAATTGATTGATTATTTTAAAAGATAAATTAACTCCTATTTCTATTATTATTCCTAATTGGTAGTTGATTTATAAATATAATTTATGGATAAATATCTATTAAAGCAATTCAGCGTAGTATAATTTAATATTGCAATTTTTTCGAAGAATTTATAAAAACTTATAAAGTTGTTATTACTTTTATGGCAAACTTGTATAAAAATTGAAGGGCTTGACACAGAACTTTTTTGATAATAATTTGTTGTTAATTATGAATAAATGGTCTGCAAAAAATTTTCACCAGAGTAAAAAAGATACTTTTATTATTTAATTGTTCGTGGTAATTTCAAATCAGAAATTATATGTTTTCCATCACTAATAATTTTTGATATTATTACTAATTAGTTAAAACTATAGGATATAACTATGAGGAAAATAGTTCTAAATATTTCAACTGTATAATCTATTTAAACACCAAGAATTAAATAGAACCTATTTTTTTGGTATTTTAAATATTTTTTGGTACTTTATTGGAAAATTTTGAAAATTGTTTTTACACTATATAAACAAAAATATGATACTATTAAGACGTTTAGTAGTTTTGAGATTGTGTATATTAATAAAATATTATTGTATTAAATAAAATAACTAAATCATATTAAGTATATGTTTATTTACTGACAAACATCTAATATATATTTACACGAACTCTATAATAAATTTATTTGTATCCGACTTTCCCTTATACACTATAAATAACCGATCTGTTGGTGATGAATTATTAAACGTGTTTATATCTTCTTCATTGAGCGAAACCGATTTTGGCAAATAAATGAAAAATTCTTCCTTAGTTTTTTTCAAAGATGTTTTCCCTAAACGAACAATTAAAATATTTATAAAAACTTCAAATAGAGTATTTTGATTGTTTTTTATTACCTGAATTAATAAATACACCTGTATCTTGAACTTTACATCGCACTGCTAATCCATATTTTGTCTCCGTTTTGATCATTTCGAGTATTTCAAATTTTTCGTTTATAACTAATTCACCAATTGATTTGTATGATTTATTTTGATTATATTGATTACTTAAATTCTGCTTCAATGATTCCATTTTGATAATAATTTTATTAAATATGAAATATTATAATGTATACATTTAATTGGTTTTCAAGAAATCATATAAAATAGTATTTATAAACGCTTAAGCATCTTTTTTTTTTAACAGTTAGCTGATATGACCTATAACATTGAAGAATCTTTAACTATCATCGGTGAATGCTTTACTATACATCACATGATATACGAGGCTGAAAAATATTATGAAAGTGTTGAGTCAAAATTTTGGACCAACGTGAGTCATAAATTATTAGAATATATACAACACAGTATTATACACTGATTATGAGCTCAATCTTTTATATATTCTCTTTATATATTAAATAAAGTCATTAGTGTTATTTATAAAAACGTCTACTAGTCATTTTCATTTACTATAAGTAAATTGTAATTACACTATGCTTAAAAATATATTTAGAAATGTTTTGAAAATATAGAAAATAGAAGTATAAATTGAATGCTATTAGCTACCCCTAATATCCCAAACCCAACGCTACTGTTGTTATTGTACATTATTTTAGATATTACACTAACAATTTTGTATACATAAATAAAGCTATAATAATTAAGAAGTAACATCTTCTTACTAAGTTTATATATTTAATGATGTTATTGTTTTATTTACGATGTCTATAATTATTAAAACATTTTGATTTACCTATAAAAAGAACAGATAAAATATTGATGAATATTATCGAACAGATCAGATCTCAAGAAAAAGCAGAAGTAACCACTCTATTGAACGTCGAAGAGAACGCATTTAATATTTCAAAAAGTTAAAAACGAAAATGGGTTCGGCAATATTT